GAGGGCAAGTACACACAGAGCCCGCCAGCCACATGAGAGCCCGCAGCTGGACGCAGCCGCCCCCGGCACCCCGCCAGGCCGAGCCTTACCGGGCAGGCCGGACGCGTTCCTGGAGGCCCCAGAGAGTGACTTCAACGCGAACTCGATGTTCCTCCTGGGAAAGCCCATCTCCATGAGCTGCGCCACGATGGGCAGGGCGGGCACGGGCGACTGCCGGCGCCGCTTCACCCGGGCGGGGCGGACGTGCTGCACGGCCACGGGCGTGGTGGCCTCGCTGGAGCTGCAGTCCTCGAAACCCGGGCTCGACGGGTGGGTGGACTCGACGGCCAGACACTGGCACACGGCCAGCGCGGCAGCCTGGATGGAGAAGAGGGTTCGGGAGGTTCAGGAAGCTGCCACAGGCTCAGGCATCTGCAGTGAGCTGCCACACAGAGTTCCCAGGCCTGCTCGTGTACTCCAGACGGGCCGGGTACACACGCCCATCAGCAACGAGGCCGAGTGTCCAGCTGCACTAGTGCACGGCATGATGGTCACACTGGTGACTGCGGCTGCTCAGAGAGCCCCATAGGCCAGCCCCAACTGGGACAGGTCAGCAGGTCTCGATGTCCACGAAGGAAAACCTCACGGCAGCCTGAGCTCTGCCCGAGTGGGTGTGGCAAATGGGTCCAGCTGGGGCAGGGGCACAAGTGTCCCCTAGCAAGCCAGCACTATGGGGGCCACAGGCCGCTGCTCTTCCCTCAGAAAGGATGCGGGACACTCTCATATGTCCCTAACTCGACCCTCAACTATGCAAGGGTACAACAGCCACTCTGGGGCTAGACCTGGCATTAAGTATAAAGGAAACAATGCCAACTGAGAGCCACTGCTGCGAGCCCTGCACGCTGGGACAGTGGTGGTGTTGCAGGAGAGCGCCTGCTTGCAGCACGCGCCTTCCTGCATCCGCCTGCCACTCCTCCTCGGCCCAGCAGCTCACCGGCGCTAACGACACACGACTCTGCTGAGCATGTGAGGAAGGAGCCGACGACCTGCAGAGGCTTCCCGGGCTTGACATCTGCGAGGCCTTGGGTGGGAACTTCCTCTTGAAGCCCTCAACTCAGCCTGACAGCTGAGCATCCTGGTTCTGGTAAGGAGGCCTGAGTACATACTAGATTACGCTCTTGCTGAAAATCGTGACCCCAGGCCAAATACCTTTAGAAACTGCTGAGGGCACGGGAGGTAGGCCCCAGCGATGAAAACTGGGTGGGCATGACACCCGGACCCAAGGGGAGCAGCAGGCGAGGCACACATTTAACACAGGACATTGTGATGGCTGGAATTCAAGCCCACCAGAGCAACTGGGGCTGGGGAGAGACCCCGAGAAGGAAATCAGAGAAGCCGTGAACCCACAGAAGCCGTGAATCCTGCCTGGCTCCCAGATGGTGCGTGAGACCCCAGAGGCCCACTGGAAAGCTAGGGGTATCTCTATAGCTGCCCGGGGCCCACAGGGGGTCTAAGAACCAGGTCCAACCAAGCATGGGGGGCGGGGGAGTGCCCAAGGTGCTCAGTCTTCCAGGAACCCCTGGGGAGAGCCAAGGCCCTTGAAATCAAGGACAGGACTAAGGGCAGAACCCAGACAAACCCTCAGAGGGGAGCGGCATGTCCTGGGTAAAGGTCCCTCCGTGAGTGCACGAGCGGTTCGCCCAGGCCGCAGGGTTCGCTTTTGCAAACAACTGCACGAACCCTAAGTGCACCCAACCCTCTTGTTATTTAACGAGCTATGATGTTCTGCTGACCACACAAGAACAGCTAAGCCCCACCGGCCACTGGAGCCACTTGAGCGCTATCTGGGGAACATGCACAGAAGAGCTGTCTGCAGGCCCATCCACTGGGCTGGACGGTCGGGGCACGTGACAGTACCTCCAGCTCCTGCTTGTCAAAGATGGCCTTCACGGGGGACGGCTGGGTGGCCGAGGCCAGCAGCTGCTGGAGGAGGAGCATCGGGGGCTGCGGTCCTTCCGGAGACATGTCCCCGAGGTCAGGGGATGCGGCTGCTCCCTCATCTGCATTAAAGACAGAGCGCATCCGCGGTCTACCCGGCTGCAGATGCCCTTTCAGAAGCACTGAGCAGCCAGGCCAGCCGCGATTTCTGCCTCGTCGGGCTGGAGACGACCGAGGACTCTCCACTCCCTGCTTCCTGGTCTCTGTCCTTCATCACAGGATCGAGCCCCAGATCTCTGCCCTCGGCCCAACACTCCCGCCTTCTCCTGCCGGTTCACTGGCGTCTGTATCGCCCACTAACCACGGAGCCCAGGTTCCTATTTCTCACCCTGGGTTTTCCCGATAAATTTGTTTGGATCGCAAAGTGACACCAATTCTAAACGCGTGCATCATGTGGCCAGGCCGAGGACTTTTAGGTAAAGTCATAAAGAACGGTGGTTTTCAACATTGGCCTTAGGACTCCCGCCAGCACAGTGGCAGGACGGGCACTGCCCCGACTCCTGGCACTCACCGAGGCCCGTGCCGTTTGCAGTACTGGCTCATCTTGGTGACAACTCCCTTCGGGATCACAGGCTGAGCAGCCAGGTGGCCTCTGCCACAAGTACTCAGCTCTCGCTATAGCCGGCTGCCAGGGAGGGCGCATAGACGGCAGGAGCGGCATTCCCGCAGAGCCCGACGTACAAAAGCAGGTGACCAAGGGGTCTGCCCACGCCTGCGCTGTCAGTGCCAGCTGGGGCCAAGCCCACCCCTACGTAGCCCAACCGGTGCTCCCGGGGATGGCAGAACAGCCGGGTCTTTCCATGGAGACATTCCCACAGAGGACTGCCGGCTCGAAGGACACAAATGCACACACATGTGCACCGCACACGCCCGTGGGACGGTGGCGCCCCCAGCCCACGAGCGGCATGCTCATGGAGCCACTCGGGCCCCGTCAGAACTGCCCGAGGTCCCCGCTGAGACAGGCTCTGCCTTCCTCACCACAGTGCAGCCTGCACGCATGTGCCCCCATCTCTGCTAGTCCAGGGCCTTGGTCTGAACCGCGAGGGTCACCGTGCTGGCTCCCCCACCTACCACCCCACCCCACGATCCCCGGGACGACGATGTCACTGAGGGTCAACGACCCCCAGGCAGCAGAGTCATCTCTGCTCCTCTGCCTGAACTGCTTGTCCACCACCACTGCCTGTTACCGATGGCACGTCTGCCTTTCTTACAAAGCTGTCGAAGCTTCCTTTAATGGGATACCCGTACGGGGTGGACCCCACGGCCTAGTGGTTAAGGAAGCCAGATGGCACGAGGCTGACTGCACAATCAATTCCCAGACCCGGCGGCTTTACAAACACACCAGGTACATGTGTGTGGGTGGCCCAAGTCCCAAGAGCAGGGGAAAGGAGAGGAACCTGCGGTGTGACCGTGCTCCCCTGGGAGTGCTTCCTCCTCCCCGTCTCTCCAGCAAGTAAAACTTCTTTCAAATTTTAAAAATAAAGAGATACCAGGACCTACAGATGGCGAGGTGGTTAAGGTGCTGGGCACTCCCATATGGCCGACCACAGTCCAAGTCCCAGACCTGGTAGCTTGCTTTCTTTCTGTGTGTGTGTGTGTGTGTGTGTGTGTGTGTGTGTGCACATACATGCGTGCATATGTTTGTGTCTCCTCTCTCTGGTCAAATTAAAGTAAATGACTAAGTAAAATTAAGTAAATGATTCTATAAGTAAACAGGGACACACCTGCGTGAGCAGCTCCGGCCTCCTGGACCGCGGGCTGCGACAGGATCTGCCGCAGCCTGTCCTGGTGGGGCAGCAGCGCTCGGCCAGCCTTCAGGATGTAGAGCTTCAGCTGCTGGTGCCGCAGCAGGTCCAGGTCCACGTGTCCTGTTGGGGCGAGGGGCCTGTGAGAGCCATCTTGCAGCAGGGGGTCCTGGGACCCTCCTGCATGAGCCGGCAGGCCACACTCAATGCTGTCCACACCGCGGGATGACCCCCTTTCACAGTCTGTCCTCCCTGTCTTCCTCCTCCCATTCTCGGGGTCCCTGGGCGGGCTGCAGTGAGTGGTCACACACGGCAGGCCCGTGCCGCGGCAGGCCCATGCCGGCTGTCCTGAGCAGCACCAAATGCTTCGCAAACTGCTGCGCCTCACCGTGCTCAGTCATAGCCTCCTCCGGAAGAGGCCACTGAGACACAGCCGGCCCCTGAACTGGTGAGGGTCCCGGTGGACCTCCCCGCCCCGACGCATGTGCAGACTTTCCCTAAGGCTGCGGCCTGTGGCGACTAAGGAGGCCGCCTGATAACACAGGCCTGGACTGCAGGCCGCGCAGCACTGGCCCAAAGCCGGGGGCCCGGGTGCCTCGCAGGCATCACGCTTGTCTGGCTAACACACAGCTTGTTCACCACGATGGGGACAGGGCTGCTGGAGAAACCGGGGACACGCACGGGCCTCCAGTGGAGATGTGCCTGGTATGCTACCATCGTGGGGATGGGGCAAAACGGAGGAGCAAGCTCAAGACGAGTGGGCGATGAGCCAGGGGCCCACTGGGGGTACGAAGAGTGGCAGGGAGGAAGCAACACGAGGGTGGGAGAGCAGGACGTGCACCCCAGAGCGAGGAGGGCCTGAGTGAGGGCCGCAGGCCCCACCCTCGCTTAGGCCCAGGTGTCAGCGTGAACAAAGCTTCCGAGGGTGCCTAGGCCCCAAGGCACAGGTGAGGGGTGCACAGAGGCCAACAGAGTCCTCTCTGGAGCTTGGGACACGCGCTGGCCCTGGGAAGGGGGCCGGGCCAAGGGTTCTTCAGATGTGGCTCCAAATACGGCATCCAAGGCCAGCTCAGACTCCTGTCACCTTGCACAAGGGTCACATCTCAGCAGTGACACCACAAATGGAAATCCGGTGAACCCCAGAGCTTGGCAGGCCTTGGGCTCGCTATGGTGAGAGGACACACGCTGTCCCAGCACTGCCAGGTGACCGCGGCTGGCCCCAGCGGGGCCCGGGCACGGACCTGCGAAGGCCGGCTTAGGCAACATCTTCACTTTGTGCTTCTCCAGCTTGCTTCCGGCGAGGTGCACCAGCTGAGCCCAGACCGACAGCATGGGCTCCGTGAAGGGCAGGTTGGCCACACTGAACGGCACGGCGGGGAGCTGCGGGGAGAGCAGAGACCCCCACGGTGTGGCCACAAGACGAACGGAGAGACGCTCAGACGGTTACCACGACTGCAGCTCCCACTCCAAACCCCACCACACCCGAACTCTGTACAGCCGAGAGCAACCGGTAAGGTGGCGTGACGTCAGGGGCAAGATAGAGACGCTCGTGTATCATACACTTCTACCTGCCTGTCGGCCGTTACACTGCGGGGCTGTTACGCCCCAGGTCCTCCCTAGACAGCTCACGTCTCCTACGTCAGCACGTTCTGATCAAAGCAGCGCCGTACGGGAAGGGCGAGTCAAACCGCACTTGGGCTGCGTCAGAGTGACGTAGGCCGCTCACTGCGGTGGGTCCCGGCTTCGCAGGAGTGAGGTGGCCTCAGCGGCTGGGCAGATCCCACCCTCACCTCACCATGGCTAACAAGCATGGCTGCGCGGACTACGGTTTTCCCTTAAAGAAATCGCTTCTCTAAGTTTTTAAAGCCGTTTAATAAAAGGTACACTGTACAGGGGCCCGACAGCAGTGCACTGGTAGGCTGCAATGCTCTGCGAGGCAACCACACACGGAAAGGTTACCAGTTCCAGTCCCGAGACCTCTGTGACGGTACAGGACGTGGGGCTGCAGGGGCAGTGGCAATAACAGCAGCAAGGCCCGGCTGGGGGTGCTGTGTCGGGCGTGACCCCGCCCTCTATATATACACACACACACAAACCACACACACATCACACACACGTAAAACATGTATATATACGTTTGTGTGTGTGTGTATGTATCTGGTGCGCACAGGTGCCCTGTAGCAAACTGAAAAATGATTAACAATAAGTTAAAAAATTAAGTAAGTAACTCTTTTTACAAAAACAGTCCGAACTGCCTTGCAACTGCACAGTAGCTTCTGAGATGCTAGCACCCCTTTGTTCCTGAGGCTGACTGGAGACTCTGGAGCCGCCCCCCCCACTCGCCATGTGAGGCGGGCTCTGCTCAGCTCCAAGCTCGACCTAATGAGAGGAGAGGGTGTGGCTGCCCTGCAGGCAGGCAGCTCCCGGCCCTCAGTCCAGACTCGAGCCCCTGCAGCCCCAGTGGCAGACCCCAGGCTCATGAGCCCGCACACTACGAGACGGCGGCCGCGTACGCGCTCCCTACCGGCCTCAGCTGGCTCAGAGGGCACACGCGGCAGGCCCGTGTGTCTGAGAACTGCACGGTGATCCGGCCCTTCGGGGTGATGCGTGTCACGGTGCCCTCGCCAAACTCCTCGTGCACGACGTGGCCGCCCAGGCGCAGGCGGCCGTCGATCCCTCCGATCACCGCCAGCGCGGCCATGAGGCCTCCCACCTCGAGGTTCTCCGAGTCCGGACAGTAGTCCTCCAGCTGGGCCTAGAGCAGAGAGCAGAGAGGCCTGACGGGGGCCACAGGGCTGCCTTTCTTACCCATCGACAGTGACCCTGAACTAAGCTCTGTACGAGCTCTTCCAGTAATTGATGTCCATTAACGGTATTTCTGAACAAAACAGTGTTTAAGAAGGACAGCTTCATTTCAGAGGTAAGTTAACGTCCTGCGAAGAAAACAGCCTACGCAGCGAGGCAGACCCACCCCTTCCGCCAGCTTCCCGGTGCAGCTCTGGGCCACGGAGCGCAGCTGGGAGTTGATGTGCTTGTTGACAAGCCCGTTCCACTGGGGCAGGCAGTGCAGCGCGCGCAGCAGCGCCACCACCTCCTCGGCCAGGGTGCTGCTGTGGGTGGCCGTCAGGGAGGCCTGCGGGCGGGCCCTCCGTCGCCTGGGTGTGGACTCTGGGAAGAAGCACAGAGACACGCTGCACCAGGCGCCACTCCCCCCGGGGCCGAGCCAGGGGAACAGCCCCCACCTCTGAGCAACGGGACGTCCGAGGAGCAGGTGGTGAGCAGGCTGCCCAGGAAGCCGAACAGCTTCTCCACGAGGCACTTCATGTCGCTGGCCCGTTCAGTCTTGTCCCACGAGGGGAGGACAGCCTGCAGCAAATGCACGGCCAAGATCTGCAGAAAGGCCATGGGAGATGACAGGCTGCAGAGAGCCATCCGCTGACAGGCTGAGTCACAGACTCTTATTCTTACTTTTGTTGCTGTAATGAATTAACTCTTTGGAATTTGGACATTCATTATTCTATAACCAATGACAACCACGTTAATGGTAATCAGGAGCTTAACCACAAGCCGCTATGAATACATGCATTTGTTTCATTAAAGATAACCCCTTCACTGTCATGCTCCTTGAGCTGGTCACACGACAACCCCCGGACAGAGAGAGCAGTGGCAGGGTGTCGCCCCGATGGCAGAGCGAGCAGCCTGCAGTCACCAATGCTCTGCTCCTCGCATCGAGCACCTGTGGCCCTGGCCTCGCC